GTTTTCGTCGTTGTCTCTTCGCTTCTTCTCTCTTTTTTCTTTTTCGCCATCTTTTTTTCCTCTTCTCTCTTTCGAATCCTCTGCGTTTCTTCGTCGTCTTCTTTCGTTCCGTCGGCGTCCCTCTCATCGCCGCAATCAGTGGCGCTTGTGCTCCTGCTGTTGCTGGCGATGGCGTTACGCTGCTCCGTCCTCATCACCTTTGTCATCGTTCTTTTTTCACTGTCTTCTCTTTCTTCTCGCCTTCACCGCTACCACTATCACCGGTACCAATACGACGCCATGCAGCAGGAGCGACACCGGCATCACCATCATGCTTTTCTTCATCTTCCTCGTTATTCCGGTCGGCTTTCATTCCCAGCAACAGCAGCGTTACCAGGCACCACAGTCATACAGCTATAGCTAGAACTACAGTTGCGACAACGACGCTTTTACCATTATCATCTCTGTCACACACACACACACACACACACACACACACACACACACACACAGACAGAGAAGCAAACAAACAGACGATACACATGGCCTCTGCTGCCACTTCTGTTGTTGCTACGAACGACGCCACGAATAACACAGTCGGCGGCCGACCAGCCAACCAAAAAGTAAGCGACCGCCTAAAGCAACATCACCAAGCACCAGCAGCAGCAGCAGCAGCAGCAGCAGCAGCAGCAGCAGCAGCAGGAGGAGCAGCAGCTCTCGCTGCTGCGGAAATCGCAATAACAGCAAGAATAACAGAAACAAGGCAGCGGCCACTGCACAGTCGACGAGAACGGCACCAGCAGCAAAGCGAATACACAAGCATCGTATCTGGCATTGGCCTGTCTTTGCCATCAGCATTGGCTACATAATCGTTATTATCGGCGGCAGCAGCAGCACCGATATCAAGAATTACACGGCTACAAGACTACATACAGGTCTGGCAACAGCCTCAGCAGCAATAACAAGATCAACAGTTACAGTAACAAAAGGCTACAGCTACAGTAAATGGTATCAACAGCGACAGAAGGCGTTTAGCGATCTTGTGCTGCTACTGATCACCACTTCCACCGACTCAGATCAGATTAGAGAGAGTTCGTGGCCGAGGTGGTCCCGGCCAGAACGTCGTTGTTATCGTGGGCGACGCCAGCGTCGGCGGCGCCGTCGTAGTGACTGTTTCGTCAACGCGTCCTACACTACTCGTGGAAACAGGGACATCGATAAAGACACAGGCCACAACAACAGCAGCAACAACCAGCAGGACAAAAATGGGCAACACCTAGACCCAGCAGAAGTGATTGTAACAATCGGACGTTCCGTGTGACGACGATTGAAAGTCGCTCACGGAGTGTCAACTCAAGACAAACAGTAACCGTATAACCCCACTAAACGTTAATCTGCTGTTGGAGAACAACTGCTGTTGCACTTATAACAGCGCTGGTGGTGATGGTCGCGGGAACAAAACGCCAGAGGCAAGCCCATTCATTAAGACACGCTGCTGCTTGTCGGCATATCTCACCGCGGAGCCCACCCGCCGGGCTGTCTGGCCGCCTGCCTAACCATTCGATCGCTTTGTTTCGCTAAGGAAGTTGCTATGACTGAAAGAAAGCCAACGCCAATAACAGTCACGGCCATCACACCGTAGCGTCAACATCATACTGTCGTTCATCGATGGCGATGAGCGTGCAGGATAACTTGCCGATCTGTTCTTCCTTTCTCTCTGTTTCAATCGCTGGTATCGTAAGCGTCGGCTTGCGTCGACGTCGTTGTTAAGATGTCGTTGCTTTTGTGAAAATGCATTAGATGCAACATAAGTAGCAACAGCAGCGGTAACTATAGCTTCGCTATCGAAACCATTCTCGTCGTTACACATCCCTTGCAACGGGCAAGTTGCGTACTGGCAGTAGCAGCGCGTATTCCCTAACATTATCTCGGAGACAGCATGGTGCTTCGAGCGTGAATATTGACACGGATTTTGTCGTCATCCGCTTGACGATGGAGTCACTTGCGTCGTAGCGATTACGCTCGTCGCCGCCGCGACCTACGTCCATCTAAAAGCATGTGCATCCTTTTGAGATGCTCCAAAGTTGCAACATTATGGCATTGTTTTGCTTCCTAATGCAACGCAATAAGCGATTTTACACAGATAGATACGCGTTCTGCTTGGCCTGCTCTAAGATGTTCCATGCTGTAAGCTTCTTGCTGTTATCCACCTACCTATATTCCATTGACTAACACTGGGCTAACCATAAGACCCAACGATATACCACTGCCTGTTACGAGCCTGTGGGTGCATCCCCGTCTATGTGTGCTTATGTTTCTGAATGCTTTCGGATATTTCTGAACAAGACGGTGGATACTTTAGCAGTTGCAGACAGCGAACGCCCATCGATGTGATCACTTTATCTCTCTCTTTCTCTCCTTCTTTGTCTGCCTCTTCATTTATACAATACGATACCGGCTCAAACTGTTTGCTATTCGTCTGATCAACAGCCAGCAACAATAACGACGGCAGCTCTAGATCTCTCGTTGTTGCTCCCTTCACATTCGCTTGGTCGTTTGAAGATTATATCCAAATATGCTGGGCTACAGGCCATGCAAGCGCTATGTCGCGACCACTGCGTGGATACCGGCTGTGATAGTTCGACTCGTTGCTGTTTAATGCGAACATTGCCTGTGTTCGGGCAATGGGCAGGCTCTTGACGGCTTGGGACTCGGCGCGTGTGTATGTGTAGGGTTGTGCGTGTCGGGCCACGGTGAGCGGCGCCTCGAGCCGTCCGGCAGTCTGTGCGCGCCAAGTCGCTACGGAGTCGCTGCGTCCGCCAGCTTGTGCCTAAGCTCTACCTACGGGTGGTGTGTCGATATCTCTCTGTGAATAAAGAGGTTCTGGCGTGTGAGTGGGTTTGTGTGGCTGGGTCGTGGCTGTGTGTGATACAACTGAGTTTTGCTCCTGTGTCTGGTATACCTGCATGCCTGTCCGTCCCTATGGCTGTGTATATCCCTGTCCTGATAGTTGCTTGCACTCCTTGCCGTAACCGTCGCCGGTTTGCCGTTCGAGCTCCCCCATCTCCCTCTCTTTCTCTCTCTCGTTGAGAAGTCATTAGCCGTTTGTTCGTATGTGCGTGTCCCCGTCTGACTGGATGTACGAACGTCCTTGTATATGTGAGTTTGCTCATCTATGCTACTTCCTTGTGAGCTACAACGACTCCCTGCTGGCAGCTGCTTATTTGCTGCTCCGCGACTGTGAGTGAGTGACTGTAGTCCCCTTGCCTGACTGACTATCGGTCGCTATTAAGCGTGTCCTTACTGGGCATCTAGCAAACAGCAGTGTCTGCCTAACTATTGTAATTGGCCATAGCAATAGTGGGTCTGAAGAGCAAGAGCTGCCACTTAGGAGCTTGTATGCCGGTCGATCTGTCTGTGTATTGCGTTAGTGCGATGGACTGTTGCTACGTTAGTTAAATAGGCGTATGCTTACAGGTGTATAAATGAGTCCCAAGACGTACAAACGCTGCAAAGGTGGTCGGCGATGATTGATGTGTTAGTAGTCGTAGCGTTGTCATTCGGCGCTGAACTATTCTCCCAATGACATTCATATTGCTAGAAGAGCTGATAGAGGCTTGCTGGCTGCATGTATTAGTTAGATTTTCTGTAATACTGCTTAACTAAAAAACCGTGCATGCAGCCAACTCTGGTTAGCTTAAGGTGGACGAATTGTAAGTATCGTTGAGAGGTTGCAGAAAATGCCGTGTCGCGGGAAAACCGGGACGATGACGCTGGGAATGGAGAAGCCCCACATATACGCAGAGAGTATTAGATAAACAAAACTGGGGTGACCAGCTGCTGTGAGAAGGCTGCAAAAGCGAATGCATCGTAGGTTGGAAAATAAATCGAAGAAGACGGGTGGTTACTTTGGAGTTTCGCCTTTTGTCTCAGGTTTTCGATTATGGAAAAGTTTGTCGAAGAACTTTTCCGATATTCGTCTGTATGTCGACTACGTGCAACACTTATAGTTACACAACCGTTTGATGATACATCGTCTTGAGAAAAAAGAAGGCAAGCTTCGTAACGACAGCAGTATATATATGCAGTGTAATGGAATAAAAATCTTAGAGGTAAAGGCACGAGAAGATCCACAAGCTATTTGATGTTAGAAGCCTCAAACGTTTGCAGATCATCTGCCCCTCGCCGCCGCACTTTCACTATATTGCACAGAATAATCGTGTTGGAGATATCTTTTCTGTATGCTTCCGTACCACATGACGAAACATGATGGCTACACGATGAATCACATTATGGATTACAGACGAAGCGCAAGTGGGCGCTAAGACATGTCTCTCATATGATCTAGCCACATAAAAAGGCTTGGGCAATCGATTTGGTACGGGATGTAAATCTGAATCGGTGTTGTCCTGTTAATTATTATTACAAGTAGCAAGCGTCATTTCTCTAGTCAATGATATTACTGAGCGATTTGGTTCCTCGTTTGACACTTGTACACACGCTGTTGTTCCCGACGCCATATTGATTGCTCTATGACATCGTTAAGGGATGCATTGGTCGGTGGCATCGTATTTTAAGTATTCATCCCAGACTCAGGTGCCAGTCGCGCCGATGGGAAATCGTATTTATTTGAGAAGTATGATTACTCGTTTACGAACTATTGTGCAATGTTTATATTTGTTTTCTCGGGATTTGTTGCTGACTCCTATGAAATATCGATTGATTTTTTCTAGTCTTAAACAGCGTCGCTTAAAAGGTGTCAGAGACTTACGGGTCACTCTTTAAGCGTATTTATTTAACATTTTACTGATCTGGGTCCGCATGGCTTCGTTTCATCACAAATCCATTCGTTACCTGGTTAAATATCGTTTCTAGATTTATATGCGCGTGTACGTGTTGACATTGTATCAGGAGTAACTTGCAGTAACGTAACAACGGTACATCTACAAAACGATTGTACCCTTAGTTTACATATATCGAACTGACGTCACCCACTTTTGTTTTCTGTACTGTATTTTCAGATAATTGCTTTCGCAGTTAGCGTCGACAAGCGATGTACAACTACGCACCAGACCTGCTAACTTAAACGTGGGGATAGTGTACCGCTTAAAAAATCTTCAAGATCGCTATCAGTTGTCATATCAGTGCAGATATCGCTATTAAGCCAGGCCGTATTGATATTGTCATTGATAGATTGTGTATGTCTGTGTGCGCGAGCACAAAAATCACGAACGTCAACGTGTGACGTCCCAAAGCAACGTCTCACGTCGAAAACGCTCACAGAGATAAAAACGATCCCCGTGTTACGAATGTGTGAAGTGGTGATATCAGCGAATCTGTCAATGAATCTAGCCTTTCTGTCCGTTCGGATTACGTGAAAAGTATTTTTCGTGGTAACGTCAAATCGTCATTCGACTCATGGTCAGATCTTCGCCATACCTCGCCAAGCTCCATCATGAAGTTATAACTCATTGTTTTTGATTGGTGATCGAGTCGAGTTGATTGTTCGCCGTTCAAGTGTGTGATGTGTTTTTACCACTTGTTCATAACAGTATCTGGTACTGCTATACCCGCGAACGTAATGCTACTGGCGGAGGTGGCGTTGGGCTGTTCAAAGGCGGAGGCCCGCGGCGAGCCCCGACGCCTGTGAGCGCCACGGCGGAGCTGAGGAAGCAGTGCACGTCGACTCGCAATGGAGACATCGAATCTGGTACGTCGAAAGATTCTCTCGCCTTTTAGCTGTTTTTCTTTTGGGTTTATCCCATCGTCGTCGATATCGTTGTTACTGCAGTTGTGAGCTTGTGAGCGTGTTAAACAAAGCCAGAATTAGCACAGTAATTGGCAATGCGTTCGATGGGAGCTGGCACGCTGTAACAGCTTGGCAAAAGGTACTCGTCGTCGATTTGTGTTTGTTGTCGCCTGGTGAATTATCACTGTCCGCCAGGAATATGTCTATACGTGTCTGTGTGTACTGGACGTAACCACTGCATCCGAATTCACTTACGTTCAAATCGCGCAACACTAACAGGGGCCGGCTTTGACAAAAATTAGCTACGGACTAAACGTCTAGTGCACCCATTGTCATCAGCTTAAACGGGAATGTCTATCGCCGAATCAGAACGACTTGGAATAGGGTTACGCTACTAGGCCAGAAAAACCCATTTTATCACATGTCTAGTATTTACGTATCATACGTGTTAGTGATAGGCTTCAGTTAACGACCCCTGGCTCTTCGAATCGTTAAAATCATCGCGCCAATGCACAAGGAAAAAATAGCTTGTATCAAGAATGGAAGGCGACGAGAGGTTTTACCAAGGCTGGGCCGCATTGTTACTGAGAGTAAAGCAGGTAATCGATAGGGCATCCAACCAGAAGCCGCATAACCTAAACTTGTCAAATGTTCGTCAGTTCTATGATATAGCGCCTTCGGAGCGTATGGAGAAGTGAACTCTCTCAGAACAACAAAAACTAGGATACAATTCAGGGAGAAAAGACTGGAAGAGGAAGTTTGGCTCTTATAGGATTGTTTACGTGAAGCTTTGTTGCATTACGAAAATAATTGAAATCGCCATTAGCTAAAGTAACTAGAATTCAAGCCTATTTGAGTTTGATTATCAACGCTTCTGTTGAACAAACTCGTGCAACTGGGTTGGTAGCTTTTTTCACTGCTCCTGCTTTCTGCAATCTCAAACTGCCTAATTATTTTTTTTTGTGTGGATTAAAATCGTCCAGCAAACCCCTCTTATTTTCCTGAATGTTCCGAATTGTTTGCCCTTCGTTAGTCCTAAGCTTCACCATTTTCAGACCGCGTAAGTTGCGAATGAATTGAATGAGAAGTTTCTTTTTTGTCTCCAACACATTTTAAGGCTATCTTGTATGGCTAGCTGCTCCTTCGAAAGACTTTCTGATAACTTCTCAAAGATTCATTTGAACTTTTCGTTGCTTCTTGAAGATCACACCAGGATAGGTCTTGATACTATCTAATAAACTGAATTAGGTTAAATTAAAAGAAAAATCTATATATATATATATATATACACATATAGATCCTACATGTTTGTACATAATGTAGTGAATGAATTAATGGTATACAATACAAGCAGCTCGTAATGCGACAGCATTAAAGCAGACGACGTTCAGCTACGATTATCTACAGCGTTCTCTGCCAGTGTGAACACCTCCGTAATTCTCGAGAAGGCGTGGGATATGCCAAACATTTATTTTTGCCTCATATGTCGTGTAATTACAGTATCGTTTTGGGGTTTAATGCATTCATACGGAAACCTATCGGGAACTACCTAAGCAAAACGCTGATTTCTTTCAGAGCGTCTTCATTTGACAGAGTAAAAACATACTTGAAAGAAACCTTTTTCTAATACGACTCCAAACATTATACTAACAGCGTCTATTGATTTATCCAGCTTCATAGTTCCATATTGCACACAAATTATGGGTGTTCCCATTAGCAGCGACAAAGTTTCCGTTACCTTATGGGTGTTGTAGTGCGATATTAATTTGCAAGTTTTGCTGCCTATTTCTGTGATTTGAAACAAAGGTTTTCAGGAGAAGTACGCTTTGTTTTGCGTCCTGTTGTGCAAAGGCCGGTTCCACTGCCCACATACCCAGCTTCATGCGTATTCAATCGGTTTATTGTACCTAAAACTATCCCGCTTGTTACTACTATATTACCGTCAGCCGTGAACACCAACTCCAATCACAACCCTGTTCTACTCTCTTTTTTGGCCATTACTTTATTCTTTTTAGTGGACAGGAAAGCGTCTTGCGAAGCGCCAAATGTGGCCTCTTTTTCTAGGCTTCATTGCAGCAGCAGGGGGCTTAGGTTGGCTCTAACATTTATTCTCAGCTAAGGAAACCTACTTAGTGCCAATCCAGACTTATTTCTCGATCGTCCTCTTTCGCGTTCTGCTCTCTTCAGTCTCTTCCTGTTTCAAGCTGTGTCGTTAGGCCGACGGGCAGAGAGCCAAACTAAACCAAAGCGGCAAGACTTGAATCAGCCTAACTAAACCAATATAGCCCAAGAGGGCCCGATCCCAACCCACAGAGTTCATCCGAAATTTTGCTAGTTGGTGTGAAGGTCTTTTTGTTCCATCCTATACCATTCTGTTAGATCTCCATAACAGTTCACAGCGCAGCTGCTATGTGCTGTTTGGCCCTTTTGGCCTACCCCTTTTTTTGGCCTCCGAAATATGAGCCAAGCTTCTCTTAGAAGTAGTTTCCATCCAGCCTGGCGACCCCTGAGCCTTTTGTTGCTGTTCCATCGTTAGTTTACCGCCGGCGCGCTCTATAGCGCTTTTACGCACAATGTTTCTGTTCGTCCGTTTGCGGTGCCTATGTTCTGCGAATATGCCTTACACCATCAGGCCATGGCAGGCTCTTCGCGCCTGTACACCCAACTAGCAGCGTTGTAACGTTCGAAAGAGGCGGACCAGTCTGTAAGGCATCGGCCTGTTCTGGCATATTTAGACGGGTAGAGCGGCTAGGCACTTTCTAGTGTCTTCTTTCCGTGCCAGTATCCCTCCAGCTCGGTATTAACGGCTGATCGTAACCATCAACATTGCGTGGCTGGTATTTGTGGCCGAATACGACTAATTCTGAATAACTGGCCAATATCTCTCCTTCTTTCTTTGTGTTTTTCATCGTTTTTTTTCGTTCTGTTTCGGTGTGAGCGGCTTCGTTCGCTTATGCTGCTAGTTTTCTCTGTGTTTGTCAACATGACGCTACAACTTTTAAACAAGTGAAGGTCCGTGTGCCGCTACTATTGTCTCACCATTCGGTCTCTTGTTCGCTCGTTCGACGATTTATCCCTCGCAAGGGATAGCAGTCATCTGTCTCCTCTCGCGCGTTACCCAGTTCAGCCTAGTCCGTCCGACTATCCAACGGTCTCTAGCCTAGGTACTATAGAATGCCTTAGCTTTTCTCTCTCCCTTTTTCGCCTCCAGCGCCCCCACCGCGTTACTTTTGTCTTCGTCTTTTTTCTTTTCCTACCACGAACCATCGCGCGAGTTTAGCTACCCAGGTTGCGAGCGAGTAAACCAACGCCCGTGTCTCTTCTACTACTACTACAGAGACTGCTATGACGAGTATCGCTGCAGCGTTACTTGCTATTCTGGTATTGGTGATGCAGCACCCTCTGTAGCCTGGGTCCTTTACACATGCCTGTGTCTTCTCTCAGCGGTGGCTCATCGTGATCTCTCTCTCTCTCTCTCTCTTATTTCTTTGTCTCTTTCTTCATTTTTTTCTCGTCTGTTCGTTGTGTGTTGTTGGCATACCCGACCAGTTGTTGCAGGTCCACCACTCTGTGACTTCGTTCCTTTTCATCGCTCGCCTTGCCATGCTTCGCTCTGCTGACCTGGCCGCAACCAGCCAATCTTGCTGCCGATCTGTCGGTCCATCTGCCATGGCGTCCTTTCCGTGAAGAGTCACTACTTTCTGCGAGACTATCCATTCGTTCGTTCGTCGCAAGCATTTCCTCCTGAAGCGTCCCCGACTGAAGCTTGCGGGCTTGGTTGCTGTGCTGCTATGAGCCACGGGAGAAAGCTTCCTTTTCTTTCTCCCTCGTTCTCTTTTTCATTTATGCCTTTCTTCTTATTCTTTGTTCATTCGCTGGCTAGGCTGGTTGGCGTTTATTCCTTCCCGGGCCGCTCTCTTTTGTCTGTATTCATTCATCGGTTCGAACTTCGAGGCCGGAAGACAGGCAAGCATCTGGCCGGCTGGCTGTCCGGCTAGCATCGAGTGACTGAGTGAGCGACCAGGCAGGGTCGGTTGACGGGCGATCTTGGTCATCGTCGTCGTCGTGGTGATGCTGATATCGGTGCAGTTGTAGCGTCGTCAATGGCCCCAGGCAGTAGTGGTCCTCGAAGCCTCGTCGCTGCTCTTCGCCTGCGCATCCCTTTGATTGCTGTCCACTGAGTTGTTCTTCGCTGTGCTGTGCTGAGTCGCGATGTGCTAGCAGCAGCAGCATTATAACACACCGTAGCAGCAGTGGTAGCGGCAGGGCCAACAGCAACAAGAGGAACTGCAGGGGCACAGTGAAGCTCGGGGACAAAAGCGTCCGTCACTCCGGTGTTTCGAGAGTTGCTCCGGCAGGCAGCGAGAGCGCTAGCAAGCCAGCCAGATAGCGAAATATAGTCGAACAGAGGAGCGCCCTGTTCTCCTCAAGAAGAACGTTTTTCTCTTCTCGTCTACCCAGAGCAGTCCCCAATGGCGGAGTTCCCGTTGTCGCTGCTGCTACTTTTGCTCCTGCTTGTGCTTGGGTGCTGCTGCTGCTGCTGCTGCTGCCGTCGTCGTCGTCGTCGTCAGCACGACGCTTCCTCTCTTCTGTCCTTCGGTCTCCCTTCATAACTATGGAGGCTGCTGCTTTCTTGCCTGCCTGAGTCGCTGGCTTGGTGCTTCCCAACCAACATCTCCGCTGCCGTGGCCGTCGCTACAGTCGCTACTGCCATCCTGTCCTCAATGGGGATCCCTTCTTCTTCCTGCGCACAGCGGCGGAGGCGGCGGCTGCGAGGCTGCACCCTCACAAACACTCAGACAAACCGACACATACAGACGTAGCGAGACAGACTCGCGCACGGCCAGCCACGGCAGGGCAGGGTAGGGCTGGCCACATACATTCGTATAGAGAAACGGCTCCGGCGCTGACGGGCGATGGGCGACTGGCGTTCCTTTCGCGCACACATCCAGAGCTAGGCACAGCCAAGCTGGTAGGGACAAACAGGCATGTAAGGAAACAGGCATGCAGCCAGCAGGCGGCTGACAGAGCTCACACGGACAGACTTACACAGGCAGCAGTGGACGGAGTGCTTGCCACCGACCCCCGATTTGTGCGGGTGGCTGGACTGGCGCTGCGCCGCGATCATCGTGCTTCTGTGTATGCGCGCTCTGCCGGCCTCGTCGTGCGTCGGCATCGTCCCTTGCTACTGCTGCTGCTGCCCGCTACCGCTCGATTCACTACTGTCTCTCTCGAATATAACTCGCCTCGCCCCGATTCTCCCCGGGGCATAGCAGACCTGTAAACCAACAAGCAAGACGTACAGCTCTGTAGCGGCAGTATCAGGCTCAGCAAGCGAGTCTTTTCCTCTTTGTCGCCGTTGGCGTCGCCTGGCGTTTGGCAAGCGCGCGCGAAAGCGACTGAGCGCGCTAACCCCGCGTCCCCTGGTGTCTCTCCATTACATCCTGCTCCAGCTAGCTAGTGGCAGTAGTGCTGGCGCTGGTTCCCAGACAAGGCAGTCAGCCAGGCTGCAGCAGAAGCAGCCGCAGAATGCTAGAGCAAAGCGAAACGAGTCGAGGCCGTGCCAAAGCAGCGCCCCTAAGCACCCCGCCATCTAGCCAGCTAGCCCCCTGTAGCAGGCGCGCAAAGTCGCGCGCTGCAGAGAAGCAACCAACGAACAGCCAGCCAGCCAACCCATGGATGAACCACCCCTAGCATCCGCCTGCTCTCGCTGCCAAACCCAACTACGAGTTGGGTCCGTGTTCTTTCTATAACCCTGGGTTGATTCGCCCCAATTACCCCAGAAGTTCGTCCTTTTGGTGTAGGGTTGGATAGGGCGAGGAGGCAGCAGCAGTAGCACGAGGAGCAGGCCCTTTTCGATCTGGCAGCCTCCAGGGGCAGCGAGTATAGCACGGGTCTAGGAGTACGAAGGGGCTTAAGGGAAATCGGAGGGATCGTAGCCGCTCGGGAAGGTGGGAATTTTCCCTCCGCCCCGTCTGCCGCGCCCCTTCTTGTCGCAGAAGCAAGGAGGGCGGGTAAGCGAGGAGGCGCCGGGCGGGGCTGGGGAAAACTTCTCGTTACAAGGAGAGCTCCAACTGAGCTCGAATGCCAGCAGCAGTGAACAGGGGACGGGGATATAGGGTCTTGTCGGTCTTCCCTTTACCCCCGTTACCCCTGTGCGCGTTCCTTTTTCCCCCACTTAGACAGTACCCCTCCCGACTATCCTCCCGCGAGCCACCACTGCTATTGCCACTACCGAAGTCCTCCTCAGAGAGTCCGGGAGGGGAGGAGAAATAGGGCTGATGTTGTTGGTGGAAGCCGGCAAGGAGGGCGCTAGACCAGGAGCAGCAAGGCGAAGCAGCGGAAAAGCAGGAGGGGCGCTGCGAGAGCAGAATGGGGTAGAAGAGCCCTTCTCTCTTTCTCTCTGTAGTTCGGGTTGGTGTCGAGAGATACCGAGAGGGATGTCGAAAGGCCGCTGTTGGTGCTGCTCTGCGGGGAGAGTGGGGGATGTGTTTCGGGGGCGCAAGGGACTCTGTGCTGGGGTGGGGTACGGTTGGGTAAAGTGAGACAGGGCGGGGCGGGCTGAACGGCGGATGAGATGGGATGGAAGCAGAACCCCACAAGCGACGGGGGACTCTGCCGCTCCTTTTCGCGAAGCGCGGCGCGCAATGAGAGTGGGCGTTCGGTGGGGGAAGGCTGAGCTAGGCTGAGGGGCGAACGGCTGGTTGGGCCAAAGCTGGGGAAGCCGAACAGGGGGCAGGGGTAACTCCAGGGCATGGCATGGCAAGGCAGCCTCGGCAAAGAGTCGACGGGCAAAGTGGGACATGAGGGGTTCTGCAGGAAGACACACTCTTCGGCTGCGGCGGGTCGGCCAGCAGGCAGCAGCAGGCTGAAGCAGCCTAAAGCATGCTGAGGTTGGCTGAGGCAGCAGGCGGCCTCGAGAACGAAGGCTGGCGTGGCTCCCTTGGTCCGTCCCGTCGGTGAGCTCCCTCCTCTCCCTTCCCCACCACCTACTACTACCGCCACTACCACCACCGCCACCCCCTCTTCATCGCTGGCTCACAGGCAGCACAAGTCTGCTGCCAGCCCGAACACCCGCCGCCTGGCCCAGAGCTGTGGAGGCAGCAGCAGCACCACACAGCAGGCCCGACCAACCAAGCAATCGGCCGACTCACAGACAGACAGGCCGAACGACCGACAGCAAGCACCGAACGAGGAGCCAAGTGAAGAGAGACTCTGCCACTGAGCAGCAGCCTTACACAGGACAGAACAGGCCGCAGGCAGACAGCAGGCCGCGAGAGCCAGCGAGCCGGCTCACATATACAAGTCGTCCTCGTCCACTAGTTGGCAGAACGACTGGCTTTGGATAGGCACGACGGACCCCCAACGACGACTATCCTTACAGTCAAACGTTGGACAGCCCTAAAAAAAACGTAGAACTGACCAACAGAGAGAGGTCGACAGAACCAGTGAGAGCGACGAAAGGAATGGGCAGTTCAGACAATGTTGGGTTGTGTACTCTGCCTCCGGATCATCGCAGGCACAAGAGGCATAGTGAGTGAGAAGCGCAAGTCACTGGAACTGTTCGTAGGGGAAGCGACGAAGCCGGAGCCGTGCTATAGTGTTGGATTAGCTATACCTGCGAAGGAAACAGGCCAGTGAGTTCAGTAGCTGTTCGTGTTTTCACTGTTGAACTATCCTACAATATCTTCCAAAGATCTCGTTCATTCAAGCCTTTTTCCGAGGTATGCGACAGCGAGCTGGACTATCTTTGTGTCTGTGCGGGTGACCTGTCGGCTAAGTATCCGTGTCTCGACTATCTGTGTGTGCATCTGATGTGGAGTTCGTTATTGGATAGACTTGGAAGCGACGGAATCGTTTCAAAAGCAGCTTTTCCAGACCAGTTTGAACGTCGGATCTCGCTATTCTGTGTTTATGCCTGTTGGTCCTTGCAGTACATTTCAGGTAATAATGCTACGAGCAGCAAATCCGTTTCGTTCTGGCGTGGCCTGTTCGTCTGTCGGTGTGTGAACTAACGCAAAGCTGCTATAAAAAAAACTGACACTTTCTCTCTAAGAACGCGTAACAGGAACCTCCCACAGCCATTGACAGATTATACTGATGGAACTACGAAATATCTGAGCAATATAACTATTTTTTCGCTTACTATATGTATTTCGCGCCAAAAACATTCATTACGGAGGCGGGAATAGTTCTACTGTCATTGAGCAACGCGTCTGTGCGCTCAAAGGTTTCAAGTTGCCCACTCGTGCCGTGCGAACCCTACGTGGGGCAGCTGATGTAGCTGTTTCAGCTATGCATATCCGTGATTTTGTAATTGTGCCACTCTCCAGAACAGAAATCACGCTGAGAATAACACAACTCAGCTATAATAGCTGCTATTACTTTCGATGAGTCAATACTGGGTCACTGCTATAGCCGGCCGCGTGATACAATTACGTGAAGTAAACGAGTAAGCGGAAAAGAGATTGAGTGTGAACGCGGATACATTGTAAATAAATTAGACGGATTAATAATCAGCTCATCGTGTGGTATTACTAGTATGAGTATTACGCTAAACTATCAATACCAAGGCCGCAACAACAGCATTATGTCGAAGAGTTGCTTGCCAAAGGAGTCGTACGGCTTTGTTTGTCTCGTTCTTACAGAATGATTAGCGCCCTTCAATTCTCGTAAGTTTCTCACCTCAATTTTCCACTACGTTCGTCCGCATAGATAGTAGCACAAATTACGTCATCGTAATGGCTGAATTAAAAAGGGCGAAATAACTTCATTAGTGTATCAGCTTCCTAACAAATAGGTATTTCTGCTAGGTCTGAAATCCGGTCTTAATCTATATTTAAATTGCCCCATATAGATCGAAGTGTTTATTTCAATATATATATATATATATATATATATATATATATATATATGTATGTATATAATACTCTTCTGTGCATTTCTACTGCTGGAAATGCAGTATTTGGCTAGCTTGCTCGTGAACTCCACCCTCAACACTGGGCATTTTCTAATATAATATCACTCACTCAGAAGCCCCTCTCTTTTATCTATCCGTACATGCTTGTAATAAATAACATTTAACACGGGCTTTGTAAGATTTAAGTGTATTTCCTTGAGTTGGATAAAGGCTATCGATATCATTTGAATCCATAAGGCTTAAAATTTTAGCCATACCCACAAATAAAAACATCAGGTAACAGTGTACGAATCATCGGCTCTACTTGATTTGAGACTTGTTTGTGTATGTACGCTGTTCCTGTAAATTGAACCTATGCTTGATAAAAATATGCTAAAAAGGTGCTGAGATAAGCGGGCCGCTGTCACGTTTCAGGCTGTTATATCCCAGTACTGATTGCCCTTGCTTGCGCTAGTTTTTTACTCACATCACTTAAATATGCAACCGTTATACTTCACAAGCTTCGAATTATTAACAGTTAGATCGGTTTCCAACCATCTGATATTTCTCGAAATGAGCAGGGGTTTGTGTGCTCGAAAAACTAAAATTCAACACCTGGTGTAGCACTAAGTGCTTATTGCTTTCTTGATTGTATCTGCTAGGCCCAGATGTTCACGGCACGATAATTAAAGTACATAATCCGGTGCTGGACAATGGCCTACCATGCTAAGTCCCTGTTCCCTAAGTCTTAGTTGTTAGTTGCTTTATGTTTAACGATTACGTCTGCCAAACGAATAGGGTAACTCTTCTACCTAAATTGGTACAAGATGTGGCACAACCTGTTGGTCGCAAAGCATTTATTGTATCGTGTCGGGTCTGTATGTCTCTTTGTTTGCTTTTCTCGATATTTGATTGTTTTACTGCCATTTAGCACGAGGCTGGCCGGATCAAATCTGTTCGGGATCCGAGGAGTCCAGAAGCGTTTCGGTATTACTTGCTTCAACATCCGCTGGCGAGGGAAGCAACCTTCAGTGCTCCAGCTGGTCGATCCGTGAGTGATACCTTCATTCATAATTTCAGTTCAACCCCCACTAACGCACAGATGTGGATGGTTTGACGATGCACCGATTCTTACGGGCCCTCAGTCTGTTCAAATACCCACAGTATCATCACAGTGTCATCGATACGTGTATTATTTGAACATCAAATGGGTAATATATCTACGCATGTTGTTTTCAACTTGATAGATAAGTCAAACTTCAAGATATATCAGTGGTGTTTATGGATTCTATTAGAATAATAAAACGACCTGTTAGTGTCGAACGGTCAGTATTATAGGAGAACGGCTGACTGTAGTAAGGCTGAATTAACATGATTGAGGTATACATAATTACTACTTGTTATGATTAGTAGTAGCTAAGTTCCGAAAGAACGAAGAAGCAACTCATGAGTCGTCCGTGGTAATATACTGTTAGGGCTATGTTAATCTCATTAGTCTAGTTTGCCTGCGAGGTAAGAACACGGTCACCTATTCCGGAACAGATCGGTGATTGTTACTATAAAATTTCGGATTTTTAAAATATCTCCCACCTCACATTTTAAGAGATATATCCCTCAGGTCACGAACGCAATATTTTTCCCTCAAAGAAATTAACCAAACTTTTCCCTAAATTTGACCACCGGTTTATTACTTTATCTCTGTAGTATTTTTATGGCTGGAGGTCAGTGGACGATAACACTCGATTAGTCTATCTTCGCCGTGTTCTCAGCGTGGAATCGTTCATCGCGTATCGATTCCATGCATTACTCGTCGCACTGAGGATCCACACGACACGCAAAAAAAAATACACCCAGAAACATCCATTTTGTCAAACGAGACGTGTGTTTCTGTGCGCTGTGGCCAGCTTAGAGCTTACGATTGCTACGGCACTGTATCTTTGAACGATTACGTGACTGACCGTTACTAAAACTAAAAATACATCTAGTTTGTTTAAAGGCTTTTTCATGTATCCTTGATCGCCAACCTACTGCCACTGAACGGCTCTACCTTAGCGCGATCGCCTTGCGACAAGCTTAGTCTAGCTACTTTATTATGGCAAACAACTGGCACGCGTACAGACAAAACACACTCATGCTATGTGTGCCCTTCGATCAACGGACATACACAGGGTCATTGTTCATCGAGCAGATTCAAGTCGTGTTATATATGGCTCGCAGAAGTTGCTACAAGTTAAAATACTATTAGATTTCATGCTGTTTCCCTTGACACCCTGTCCAAACATTTTTTGGCCGAATTTTTCAACGTATCAGTTCAATCGCGTCATACTATGCACTCACGTGTGTGGAATTGTAACTAATCATTGCCTGCCACAACAGACCAAGGGCTCAAACTTTCGAATGCAGTCGCTGTCCAACGAGGTTGTCCAGCGTAGAGGCTATTCTCGACAATGAAGTCGATGACGACAATAACAAAGCTGCTTTCTCTCAAGGTGATAGGCTTACTCGTTCGACTCACCAAACGATTGCCACCAGTCCGCTGGTTTGTTAACGACCACTGACTACTACAGCAAGGCGAAGGAAATCGTCGAGATGTGGGACTTAACGGGCAAGGGGTCCGCTTGATCGTCCTGGCCCGCTTCGTCCTCTTGCGTGTTGGTCTCGTCAATATTTTCCTCCGTCAGTCGCTGTCACTACCTTTTCTTTGCATTCCTTTTCTTATACAATAGTCGGCTTTTGCTGTGGCATTGAGTTCGCTGGAACAGGCAGCAGTGTCCAGCGGTTTCTTCAGCGTTCGGCATCGTCAGATTCGTAGTGTTTTGTTCTGCTTTTGGCGTTTCGTTCGTACTGCTGCTGCTGCTGCTGCCATTGCCGCTGGTACACCGCAGTCCTCGTGCGTTCATTATTACTGCCGCTATCTTTTTTCCCTTTCTCGGTTCTTGCTGCTCGCCGACAAACGCAACGCGATGCCTCTGTTAGTTATCGCGTTGACTGGGTGTAGTTGTTGTTTAGGTGTGTGTCTGAGTGCCTGTATGGCTGCGTGAACGCGTTTGCTGCGAGTGATTCTATCACACGATTGCTTGGCGTGGCTCGATGTCGCTTGCAAACGGGCAGATATAAAAACAGACGACCAGCCGGCTTCAACATGCTATTATTACAACAGCTGCCAGAGAAGGCAGAGGACAACGACAGCAGCGAAACACGAGGGCACCGTCCACACGAAGGCGCGCGAGCGGATGGCCAAGGCGAAGAAAACGCTAGAGCGTTAAAGGTAAAGATGGAGAATAGGCAGAGATTGTCACGAAGGGCAATATGAAGGGGGCAAGTGGCCGGGAGACGACGGACCGAAAATCTCCGATGCGATGACAGCAGTAAGAGCAATAAAGGTAGATAGGATGAGTTAAATTGAGGCCGCTATTGCTATACCACCAAACACTTTTACTACAAACAATGGTTAGGGTGTTGTTCGAGGGAGAGAGTTCGCGCAAGACCCAAGCGTATCTTAGATAATAGTAGGAAACCAAGGGGTCGGGCTACGCCCTGTGGCGACCGCCAGATCGTTTATGATAAATTAAATAAAATTATTCAGCTATCGATTCCCAGTCATACAGAAGAAGTACCTGTTTTTTTCAGCCAGTTAATATGTCACCTACTTATCGGCACCCGGTTCGATTCCTGGCCGTAATAATCTATTCTACAAACTATTACTAGGATTATTACTGCCAGTAGTACGTCCGTGACTCGTATCTATACACGCGCTGTCGCTAAATTCCGACGAGCTGTGGCCTGTGGCCTCTATGTTGTATAAACAGGTTCAAAATAAAGATATGTAAAAAGAAGAAAATTTAAATACATGGGTGTTGTAACGAAAAACACAATATCGAGTAGTCTATGAGTGGATATACCAACGGTCTGCTGGTACTCTGGTAAAAACTCCGTCGGAACTTCTGTGGCCGACTGGGTTTAATCAACATTACAAAACCGAGAAGAACGTCAAGGTGAACTGAAAGTACGGGGATGAATATGGTCAAACCAGAAAAAGATGAAGTAGTAAGCCTGCCCAAGGCGAAACCGTAGGAGCACCGTAACAGAAAGTTAGGGACGAACATGACGATAATTAAGGAGTTTGCTATCATCGCACTTGGCATCGGCGTCGTCTTCAACGCTACCGAAACTGAAGTGACGCTGAAGACATTTGCGAGTCTTTCCTCACCACTCTCTTTATCGATATCCGCAGCGCTTAAAATGACGTCGTCTTGCGAACCACTGAGTGGACACTACCAGAGCCAATTGGTGAAATATTATTGTAAACTTAGCTACAATTCGGCATAACCTTCCTTAGCTTCTCGCAGCCTTAGCCCTCCCATCAAAAGGAACAGCCAGAATAAAAACATCATCAGAAAATATTTAAAATTTTTTTCTGCGTGTTCTGAGACCGATCGCATCCGTATGACCGTGCAATGCATGTAGACTGGCGTGCAACTGTGGTTTTATATAAAACGACAACGACACGATTCGACAGCACACAAGACATCACTGACCAGCTGCCCAGAAAGAAGGAGAAAAAGAAATAAAGGCTAGCGGCCAGTGCGTTGGTTTAGGCAGTTGTAAGCTGCCAATGAAATCCCAATGCCGTTGGACGGAGCTGGGCTGTAGAGCTCAATAGAGTCCCCTGGTCGGTAAAACAAGCGAGAACGCATAAGGGAGTGACGGCGCTGTATATACGCTGCTGCTGTGTCTATGGGAGGCGAGTGGACTGCAGAGAGCTCTCTTTGGGGGAGGGACAGCGAAGGGACGAAGGGACGGAGGAAGTCCTAGGTTAGGTTAGGGTACGAAGGAAGCCAGCCGCTAAAAGGGAAGTCTCACAGAGGCTTGCGTTGGATAGCCGCGAACAACAAAAAGGCTGCTGAGGCTCTCCTATTGCTGCCATCAGCAGCGGCCGTAGCAGCAGGATCAGGCGCAGAAGCAGTACCAGAAGCAGCCGTAGGGCCTTAGGGAGTGCCTGTGAATCTTTCACAAGGGGCCTTCTGTAGACTGTGATCCTGGAATCGCATTGCCTATACCTGCTCGCTTAGCATAACCTGCAATAGCCTGGCCTTTGTTGGCCTGTTTTTTCTAAAATTACTCCAGCTTAGTATAAAGAGTTGATACCTGCTTTATTATAACGATTCTCGTAATCGTAATTGATCTTGGTTGCGTACAATTGGGTGGTCGGTAAGATATTATGAGCAATTCTGTAGGTGCTGATGTCTTTGTAGAATGTGGCGTTGATTTTGCTGTGAACGTTTGCCTATCGCAAAATGTGGAGAATTAGAGAATAAATAAAAATATTGTAAACAATTAGTATTAATAAGAGCGCAACGTTTTGTGGCGATATAGAATGCCACACAGGCTATCACGTTTCTGTAATACATAATATGTACTTACCGTAGCTTCACGAGACCTGCGTGTTTTCACGTAGCGACTGCACATGCCTTTAACCTATGCGGTGGTGCTAAGTCTTCACTGGCTCGTAAAAAAAATACTTGGCCGTACCCTTGTATCCCGATAGAGTTCAGTATACTTTGTTGAACTACGCTGACGATGAAATGTCTAATTGGCTTGGAGGCATTTTACATTGTTTGATCTATGATTTAGGCAGATGCTGTCAGTGCTCTGGACACTGTATGACTTTAAAAATATATAGTACAAAATTAATACTACATCCATTATTATTGTCACGGATCGTCTAGGGACGGTAAACTCTCTTAAAAATGGAACAGAATAACGACCGGTTGTAAATATGTGTGTTGCATTTTGACAGGTCCTATTCTTTTTTTGTATTCGCTTACGAGTGTTTATAATTGGCGGGCTCGTACCTATTCCTGAACCGTGGGCGAGTTCAAACAACGACAGGGAAATGTAACACTGAAAACCATAATGACTTACTGCCTTTCCACAGCCTACTTTTGCTGCCGCCTGACTGGCTCATTGTTTAGCTCTGAGCAGTGCTGTTATCAACTCGTTGTAGCAAACGACGGTTTGTTCAAGAAGATGCCAATTACTAGTTTATAAAGTCATTGACCTTATAGCTCGTACTTCACACAATAACTGGCCTTGAATATCTGGGGGATTACGGACTAAAGACATCCAGAATCTGTCAAGAACAGCCTATAATTGTAAATTCGAATATTAACTTCGGAAAGCGGGAGCTTGATAATTATTTCTGCTGTTATTTGTTGTTATTATGAATATAGGAAGCCAAATTTAAAACTGAACCAAGTAATTCTATCTAAGTAAAGAGATATATATGATAGACAGGTCGATACGAGCCTGCCACAAAAAGGAGAATTTCATTCCTTGTATTGCATTTAATTAACGTGTTATTTCGCCCGTACACGTGCACGCCGTTCATGTGCGTGAGATCCATTCGATTTAAGCCCGTTTCGGCCAGCGGTAGCATATCTGGCGTCTGACTTTTACAAGAGCGGTCCGTAAGTATTTCTAAATACTGCACCTACAAAACACGCCACATCGATCGACTGAATAACAGCCAGGTCGTGGGATCTTAACACTGTCGGCAATAATGAGTAAGCTATAAATAGAATTAATAATTATAGCAGTAGTGATAATGTTATAAATCATCTGTGGTACAATAAATGCTTGGTTACGAATGGGAGCCGCAAGTGCTTTGTGCCAAACGCTGGGATCGCTTCGTATCTATTCGAAAAGACCGCGCAATTTCCTATACCTGATCAGATTAATGCATCATAAGAACTCAGGAGCATCGATATGTTAACGGACAACAACCGCCTCTCGATAGACGTACAGAATCTGTATACGGTTGACAATACCTCATACTCTTCTTATGCTTTACCGAACGCCCATCAACAACGCTGCGCGCGGCTATAATCAAACGCGCAGAGTAAGCCAAAACGGGAGTGAGGTAAACGTAGCAACTTGATAGTATCAAGTAATGATTCACGTAACGATTGTGACGTCTTAGAAGAAGTTAGACCAGTCGTTTTTTTATTACGACTCAATTTCCCGCTGTCTAATTCTGCACACTAGTTTCTCGAGCAGCAAATGAAGGCCAACGACTGGGGCCCACCTGTTCGAAAAGGGTGATTCTATTTCAACTTATCAGATGAACAGGTCACCATAATAATGGTAATAGCTCTTAAGTTAAATGTGACTACACCACCACACTCACAGCTCGTCTATGTTTAACTGTTTTTTTTTTTGTTTGTTTATGGCTCGGGAGACTTGCGTACGATGCTAGCAGTAATGACACTATTACGTAGTAAATTTTTACGGTTATATATATACGAAAGTCTGTTGTGTCGTATATATTAATTATGATTGGCGATTTCAAACTAGTATATGATCTACAGTGATATTCTTAATTAATAACAATGTATACGAGGGACGTTTGTGCTATGTGGAAACACAGCGAGGACGCTGTAAAGTTCGTCTGCTATTCGAAATACGATATTTTCATTTGTCTGTTTGTTTAGCTCAGATTTAAACCACTGTCTTGCTTGTTAACGAGATGGATTTCGATTTGTCCATTCTATTTTGGACGAATAGATCAGCTATGGCTGAAGTTCTAGTACGAATTACAGCATTTGGCGTATCATCGAAACATAAATAGTTGTAAAGTCGTTTATGGATGGTCGAGTTTAAAGATGGCCAATAGAAAAACGTTTCGATTTCGACGTATTCTCTAAAAGCTAAAGTTCAAACGTATCAATTATGCGCCAATTGTGTGCAGCCCTATTCTCACTATGTGCGTATGACCATTAAAAGCAACCGTCTGTACAATAAACGAAGGGGATTGTTAGTAGAGAAAGTCCGATATGATGCAAGGCCACGAAGCTTGACCTCTGCACACCCGAGCAGGAGTGGCGATTTCCGATTGCAATGAAAGTTGTTGGATTTTCTGTCAGAAAAAGGGCTAGATATAAAATGGCAACATACCGTATCCGAAGAGTGATATGGCAGGCTGGTCGCGACCCATATTCATTTTCTATATACTATTTCATCTGCTTGATTTTCTTTTGTTATTGAAATTGACGCCACATCAGACACGATCTGCACTAGAAAGTTTCGATATAGGGATCGTTGCAACACTAAGCGCTTCTACACAGTGAGCGACTTGCACCATTTGATCTAACTAGCTTGTGCATAGTCTCGGTAAATTGATTCGATGTATTTCATTGACGAGTTTATTTTCATTTATATCAGAGTGACGGTCAAGTAGATGGAAGATATTTACTATTAATGAACGAAACGACAATAAGAAAAATCAACGTTTGTTTGAAGAAAAACAAGGGCATATGTCGTTAGCAGTGATACATTTCTTGGAAGCGATATTCATAGATACTCACAACGAACTTTGAGAAGTTACACGAACTTACGACGTATATCGACAGATTGATTTCGGCTCGACCGCTTTCTAATTAAATGCTCTCATCTGATTCATTGAGCTGTTCTATATATCTAAGGAGTTCATCGACCTCCTGCTTTATATCTGTAGAAACCACGGATTTTAACTATCGCGAGATAATCAATTGTAGTGATGGGCGCAGCGGACCGACTTCGCGATGAGGCTATAGTTCATTGCTAGAAACCACTTATGAACATTTAAGTATTTTTGCGACCGATTCGACGCCCTCTGCTTTCCAGAGAATCGGTTTATACAAATAGTGTAGATATGTATACACTCATGTACATGTAGATTGACCACCCCGAATGTCGTCCCGGTATCGAGTCACAGCTTCAACTTTCTTCAGGGCAAGACAGTGAGGAAAAAACTCTGATATGTATTAGATCAATTAATAGACGATTCCATTCCGGCTGGCTGCATAACGCGCGTCACTGTCACGCGCAGAATTTGATTTTCTTTCAGCGACATTAGAAAAAAACAGGCAACAATTCCTACCCAATGACCTGGAAGAATGGAAATTTGCAAAAAAATGACAGCAATTGAATTTGTGTGGAGGAAAGTCAGCTATTATACGGCCATCCTACTTCGCTAGCCACCATTAAAACCTACGTCCTGAATGATGTACATACGTAAACATAATAAGTGACACGCTGGTTGGTTTCCAAGCTCAAGCTAACCCTCGGTAGCATTCTTCACTTCTACGAAGTGAAACATTCGTTAGAACTATAGAAAGAGCTTCTGCTCGTTACGCTTTGATTGTACTGTCAGCCAGTTAAAAGTTACGTAATGTAAACAGTAATATTAATAGTTAAATATTAGAATACCAACGTATGTGACGAAAGTATGATGATCAGAATAATCCTTGTCCAATTAACGGTATACATCGATCGCTCCGCTATCGGCTTTCCATACCTACAGTTCTATATGGCTTATACATATTATATAGAACATCACTGCGGTTATCCACGTTTGTTTACTCAGCTTGCTTAGCTAAGTTGCCTTAAATTCGGAGTGAAGCCCCCTTATGTGAGTGTACGTAAATCGTATTCTTAGCAGAAGCATAGTAAATGGTGGTCTTGTGCATCTCGAACGAACTTGATTCTACTTTTATTTGTCCGAGGACACGTCGAAATGGTTGCCCTATGGAGCGTCGAAAACGCTGTTACAAGGCAGTGACAAAAAAACCAACAGAAGTCGCTAAGTTCTGATTCGAACAATAGGCAGCTTAATTCGATGAGTACGGGGGCAAGCACGTGCAGCGAATACATGCTTGTTGAAGTATTTAGAGGGTTAATGTTGAACGAAGGCGCACGTCAAGCAGAGCCAGGTCCTGGCGCAATAGACGCAGGACCCTATCGGGTTTTTAGAAAAGGAAAGAAATGCTTAGCTTATAGCGAACCAACCCCCGCAGCTTGAACAAGGGCATGTTGGATTGAATTGGAGAAGTTTTGAATTATTTCTATGTGTTTGTTGTGACGAAAGGCAGCCACTGTGTTCCTTTTGTCTGCTATTACTGGCCCTCAACGGTCTATCGTTAAGAATGATAAAGGCCTCAGCAACTAGCTGTTCTTTCGTACGAAAGATTTTTATGGATTTGTGTAGTAGTGACGGCAGTTCAAATGGTAGCTTACACTGCCGATAACTTGTAATAACAAATCTTATTCTTACTTGTACACATTGAAGACACACTATCATCCGCTACTAACCCTAATAATAGTAACAAAAACAATAGTGCACTTGTTGACATGAATACAAACGATATGATAGGCCAATAGCATAACATCTTCGGGGCTAGCATTTTTACTAACCTTCGGTGTTACACCCTGCCATGGATGGACCCATTCCGTTTGTTTCAGGAAGGTGATCTTTTCATAGCGCCTCCGCCTCCACCAGTCGAAGCGATGGACCTAGCAGCGCCCCTTGACCTTTGCGTGAAACGCCGGGACCGTTCACCCTCAACTAACCGAAGTTCGGGAGGGGGAACTCCCTGTGATGCTCTACCTACACCACCAAAACTTGCCAGAAACTCGGCACCCCCTTCATTACGGGCGCACCATCAGGTTGGTAACGAGATGAAGAAGCAAACGTGGCGTCCCTTTAGCCTGTGGGGAACAAGTCTTCAGCATTCTGTACTTTTTCTCATAAATTTTGTTTTAATTTAGTTAGCCATTACCTGCCGAGTCTATTTGTAGATGCTTTCAAGTACTATTTCGTTTGGCTTGCTAAGCGACGACGCAATAAAATTTATTGGGAAATAATAGTTAAACTGAGAAAGTGTTCAATAAGCAAAAAATCATGTCAAGGTATTACCATGTTGTCATCACTCTAAGCTGAAAATATGCCGATTTTTTGTTTGTTTTTGTGCGATTTGACCGCAGGTGGCTAAGTCAGTGGGTTTGGAAGCGCTAGGCGTGAACCCAGCCGCCGTTCAAGACTTCCAGCAGGAACAACTCCGCCAGCTACATATGCTGTCGACTCTGTTCGGTAGGACTCTCATTGAAAATGCGCTGCCACCCATGCCTCAGCTCAAGCAGCGTGACCCAAGTGTTGGTAAGTAGTGCATAGTAATTAATTCGACTAATGAGTTGCATTAATTGTGATGATGATTACTCCTTTTGACATTTAGTTTAAGGTGTTTATCAAATGTTTGTCTTTCCATAAACAACTTCTTGTTTTCACTTTAACTTGACAATAATAACAATAAGAACAGGCGCATACGCAAGTCGTTTACGATGCAGACGCCACTAACAAGAACATTGGCGCGTCATTAAAGTGTCTTCATCCAAATTTTTCTACTTCTATTGTATATATATATACACATATATGTTGAGCCAGAATTGCGTATGACCGCAGGCGTCGTTGCTGGTGCCGGCGGGATATCGTCTGTCTTAAGTGAGACGTCGAGCGCAGGAGGCGGCTGTTTGTCGGAAGATGAAGAAGCCGGTTCGTCGCATTCACAAGGACGAAAATCTCAGGATTCCCGGGACTCCGATGGAGACACCGATGGAAGCCAACGGCAGACGGCAACCCCCACATTTGCCACGCTCGCGCACCCTGAAGAGCTGCTCCGAAAACCGTTACTTGTCGGATTCCGAAGAGAAACCGTTATTAAGTAAGTGTCATCCTTGAAATAGAAAACATTGGAGCTGAAAATACTTTTCTTAGTTAAACCTTTATTATTGTTATTATTATTAATAGTCGAATGGTCTGTAATGGAGTTGCTTACAGTGTAGCAAAATGTAACTAGAAAAAGCAACAGCATAAATATATGGGTTGCCTTACTCTATCTGCGTAAGACCAAGCTGTTGCTGCACTCCTCTCGATGTTCTGCTTTATAAGGAGCGTTCTAATAGTACTTGTGCACACCGATACTTATGTGTCTGATCTCTTTGCAGGAGCATTTCCAAGTTGGGTGTTCGAGGCGAGGTAACCTATTATGGACCGTGTGGCAAAAGACTAAAAAGCTATCCTGATATCAATCGGTACCTTCAGAGAAAGGGTTTCAGTGCCATCCTTGGACGAGAAAACTTTACCTTTAATAACAAGCTCAATATTGGCCATTTCTTTGAAGGTGGTCCTCCCGGTGAGGGCGGTACTCTTCTGACTGAGGCTGAGGTACTTTGAGTTGAACGAGTTATCACAGCACTGTGAAGTTCCTTCCAGCCGAATGCGTATACTTGCAGTAAATTTACTTGCCCGACTAGAACTTGAGCTTTCAAACGAGTTGGTATATTATTGTCTGGACAGTCGCCTTGGCAATAGAATCATAATTATTTTGAATTAATTTGTTTTGTACATGCGATAAGACAAGCAGACGAATTTCTGCTGTCGCCCAGCCGTTTCAGCTGTTAGATGTGCCAGTGTACCCATATATATATATATATATATATATATATATATCCATCACTGATGAGTAGAAAATGTTTCTTCAACAATTTGTTTTCTGCTGCTGTTAATTTAAATCTTCTAGATCAATCAGCGAATCGACAACCTCCGAGGCTATTCATTGTCACGGAAACGTTCCGCGATGGATCGCGCCTTCCAGAAAGAAAAAGAAAAAGAAAAAGAGCGCGAGAGACAGCGCCAAAAGGAAAAGGAGCGAGAACGTAAAAAAGAAGAACAACGACTTGAGAAGGAAAGAAGGTTAGTGGACACGTAAACCGGAATGACTTTTACTTTTTATTTTTGTCTCGTTGTTTGTATAAACTTCATCACCAAATATTCCCCTGGCTAATTTCCCTGGCTTAAGAATAATCGATTGATTATTGTTTTTTGACGAATCGTTATAGTGTGAGCAATCTCTGATTGCGTTTTGCCAATTGATAGAATGAATTAGAAATCGTTACGAACTATGACGTGATAGCCCCTTAAGTTACCGTGAAAAGAACTGTCGTTTGATTTCTGAGCAATTAGCAAATGTGTACCCTAAAACCCTTCTGTTACTAGTTAGTTTTATTTCGGATTTACCATAATCCAAAACTGTATGAATATCTCATTTCAACAAATTTCAACTTCAACAAATTCTTAATTGAATCGGTAACGATACCTTCCCACGCGCGAGTTTTTTTTAAGATCCCCTACAGTTAACCTATTGTACGCTGTCTGTTGTACACTGATAACAGACTGAAAGCCCTCGAGGAAGAAAAAAAGCGAAAGCAAATGGAGGCCGAAGCTCGTCGACAGGCCGAACTTCTAGCGAAGGCCCAAGAGCGCGAGATGCGTCGCCAGGAGGCAGCGCGCCAACGTGAGGCAGAACTGGCCAAACGGCGGGAAATGCTAGCATTGTTGGACACCGAACGTGAACGAAGGAGACAACATCTCGGCCTAATTCAAGCCCTTGTGTTACATCGGAAAGCTCGTGAACAAATGCTGGTAGGGAATCAGTTCTAGCTATAACGCCGAGAGAAACCTGCCATGGTTTTCGATCCATTAGTTGTGTTTTCTTGGTAAAAAAGCGAATAGTATGAAATGATTCGGGCTGATTATCAAAATGCTAAATTTTTGGGAATAGCGCGATTAGCTTTGACGAAAAAAAAGTTCATCTATTATTGAGTTACATGATTTTGTCCTGGCATTTTAGCAACTGCAAGCTGCGCGAGAAGCCGCCGAAAAAGCAATGATGGTTGCCCCCGTAGCAAAGGTAGGAGATCAAGATAAGGCAGCCGTTGAAGACCTCGAACTGCCGTTGGACCCGGAAAAAGGCAAACTTCCTGGCTTGCCACGCCTCGGAGAACTTCGCGTCCCAGCTAGCGCATATGCTAACCTCCTTATGGTCGACGAGTTCCTCACAACATTCCACGACTGCATTGGCTTTAAGGGTAGGCCGTTTGGATATCGCCCTATATTATAATACTGCTATTACGAACAACCTCTGTAGGCAATTGTAATGTGCTTCCTAATAAATCATAGCAAGTACTCTGTTCAAGTAAACTACACCCAACCCCAGTTCAGCCTACTATCCCCTGTTTCTTTCTGCACTCTATCTTTGCCCTGCCTTAATCGCAGTTTACTTAATGAACCTATCGTTTATCCATCGTTAGACATGTCCCTATCACGGTGCAGTGATGACGTATTTGCTTACTAAACTCAGGACATGTAAAGCAGAGTAGGTTCGAAGCCGGGCATGCATATACGGTGCGCGTTGTGCTTGGAAAGGGCCACCAGTCGTCACCAGAAGCCATCCTTAACTAAGGTGTGCAATCCGAAACATTTTTCACTGTTGGACGTGGCACTGCAGACAGGCGAGGATCCCCTTACACCGATCGGGGTTTTAACCAATTACCAACAACATACTAACAATTCGTTGATTAATTAGGCGATATTCCATCGCGGAGCGAGCTGGAGCGCGCGCTGGTCAACGAGCAGAGCGAGGGGGAGCTGTGCTCGCTGGTCGGCCAGCTGCTCGCCATCTGCATCCAGGACCCCGGACTGCACAACTCGCGCGATGCATCTACGTACACCGGACAACACCTTAGGGTAAGACCAAGTCACCGATGATCCGTCCAACTACTATTTCTAGCATTCTCATTGAAACTATTGACACTAGTTCTTTTATTGTCAACGTTGAGGAATATTGTATGCACATCGGTAACGATAGCGCAACAGTAACTGGGCAACTCGAAGTATTGGTGGACTAAAGCTAACAGCCAATGTCGGAAATATTGAATTAACCAAGTAAAATATTTGGGTGTAACTTGCTTATACCGGATATAGTTAAGCTAGTGCAAATGAGCTCGAGCCATATTGTTTTCAATGCTGCTCAAAGTGAGTCAGTTAATAAAAAAATATAAGTCATCCAGAGCAGCGCTGAAGCTGTAGGACTTCGTAAGTGGCGTAAGTCCTGTCATGCATTCGCTTATTCACGGGGTTCTTCAATGAATGCGTAAATTTTTATGGCAAGTGTGTTAAAAGCTTGAGGCGCCGAAGAGTATAGGGGGTCGTGGTTAACGCTTCTTATTCTTAATGGATTTTTTGCACGCCTTCGAACAGGATATAACGATAAACCGGTACACGCTGACAGAAGCGCTGCGACTGTATTTCCTATCACTGGACAAAGAGGGTGCCATCTACCAGTGGGTCAGCGAGAAGCCGTTCCTTGCTTTGAATCCTACTCAAAAATCTGAGGTGGTAGCTTTCTTGTGCAACGAGCTGCTCTCAAACAAATCTGTGATCCGTCACATCGATTACTGTACAGAGCATTTGACCGTACTGCGACGCGACCGCGGTATCGTTGAAGGTGAACTCAACAAGCTTCGCGCCGTACAGAGGTAAGTCCCACGCTGCCATTTGGGCTGGACTCAGCGCCGCGAATTTTTACTGACTCACAGAATCCGCACATATATGTAATATAATGTTGCGAAGCACTTAATTTGTATATGATTACGTTTCTTCATCTCGCCTTAATGAGTATAGGGTGCGGACGCGACGTCTGGAAGAGATCAACGCTGCCAAAGAAGCTGAAAAGAGTGCAACATCCGAAACCGACGTTAAACAGCAGCAGCAGCAGCAAGAATTAAGCACAGGAAACAATCCAACTTCTGCTACGGCATCCGCTTCGGATGAGGCCGGCTCGAACAGCCAAGACGAATCAGCCAGCCAGTCAGCTACTTCGGAAGGCAAAAACTCTAACAGCAGCAGCAGCAGCAGTAGCAGCAGCAGCAACAGCAGCAGCAGCAACAACAACATCAATAATAATACTAACGGCAGTGGCAACAGCAGTAACTCATCGGCGACAACAGCCGCAGGTGTATCAGCACCTGGCATCACAATAGCGTCCACATCGGCCGCTGTAACAACGGCTAGTGCATCCACGACCACAACGGCCTCGTCGATCTCGACCACCATAGTCAATAGCACATCAGCAGCAGTCTCTACAACGGTAACAACAGTTGTGACCTCGACACCAATTATAATCGGCGCGCCAATCAGTGCTGCGGCCATGGTCAGTAACGCTATCGTGAATAACGACGACGACCAGATCGATGCTAAGGTCGCCAAAATGGAACAGACACAATGTGATCTGTCAAAAAAGATCCTCGAGACTGCGGCCGCCATCCGGTCGACGATGCTTGGCCAGGACAGATACCGCAGACGATTCTGGATTCTGGCGCAGAATGGTGGAATCTACGTAGAATCGCTCGAGTCAGCGGAGCAGGAGGGCCTGGGTGATTTCGACGCGGATATGCTGAGTGTTAGCGACGAAGACGAAGATGACGAACGGGAGAAGGAAGCTAATGCTACGATAAGCGTCAACGGCTCGACTAAGCCCAGCCCAATGGTGAGCTAAAACGCTGAGCAAAAGCAATTGGAATTGTGTGAAAATATGACCAGTATATAGGGGTACTTTAGGCACATTAATTGCTTTTTTGATTTAATTCTAATTTGAGACTTCCTGTTTGTCTTACTAAACAAGCTTAACGTCGACACTCTATTGCTTTACCATTGTAGGAGGTCAACGAGGAGGGTTCTCAGGAAAAATCTTCAGATGTTAAAGCTGGATCAAGGTGTGATCTAGTGAAGGTGGAATCAGAAAAAAACAAAGACGAACCGACAGCGGATAACGATAAAGAGAATGAGCTCAAAGACGAGAAACTACTCATGGACAGCAATCAAGACCGGGTTGATACGAAGGCTGAAGCTAAACAGGAATCAGCTAAAATGGAAACTGATGCTAAAATGGAGGACCAGGAAATTGATAAGGAAGGCGAGACAAAGCAGTCGAAGCAGCAGGAACAAATCGCTATGAAAATCAAGTCAGAAGATGGACCCGCTGCCGCTAAGGCTGAAAAGATGGACATAGATAGGAAAGATGCTATCGAGGATATTGCCACGCACAAGACCAAGGAGGAGGTGTCCTGCATGCCTGGTAAGAAAGCCTAATTTGTCGACTTTTAGAATATTAGAACTATCTGTAGGCTCAAGTGAAGCCTTGAAGTTTGCCCAGTATGATTGGTACTAATACATTTGAACCTGAGCTAAAACTATTCAGAAACGTTACAACTCACATTGATTTATTAGAATACGCATATTATTGTATTCAAAACGTGATCACTAGGTAAGAGATGCAAATCAATTAGCAGCGGTTACTAAAGAACTATGCGTAGTATCTGTTGATTTTTTTTCAACGAATTTATTCAATGTTTACGTCCCTCAGCAGCCTCCACGCCAACGACCTCTTCGGAAAATTCGACAGCGTCATCGGCATCAACTGAGGAGAAACAGGAGAATAATGGCCCAGTAAAATCTGAGCCGACGGCCCCGAATGCAGCCGCACAATTCGTTCCACTTCCGACGACAAGCCCCACGCCCACGGCTACCCCGGGGATGAACCCAGCAGACCCCGCTACGCAGATGGCGGCCGCATTACGGGCGATGGGTATTCAAGGCGATATGGCGCAGCTCCTCCTTGCGAACCCGTTCTTTGCCTCGATGCTCGCCACGACAATGCTAATGCAGGTGTGTACCAGTTAATCAGTAGATGTCGATATGACATTTCAGGTATTCGTGTGGAATCCATTCTTGGAGTGCCTCGCGAGATTTCGGCTCTGGAGCCTTTTTTTCAGAGGCTGCCACGGAAACAGTGTGGCAAATGCATCTGGATTCGAGCCAACAAATCTCGCCTATAAATTATAATAGGCTGTATCTTAAGACGAAGAATGGTACTTAATCAGTGCTGATCTACGTAATGATTCTGAAGACAATACTTTTTAGGACAATGGAAAGTGCCTCCATAAGTACATAAACAAAAGCTTGTAACAATGAGCAATGATATGTAGAAACTTCGCTTGATTATGTAATAACAAAATCAATGTGTTCGTTCTTCCCTCCATCTTCTTTGTTCGAAATTTTAGGGAGGCAATATGGCTAACATGGCTACGATGCTTGGCCAGCTCCAGCAGCTCATGGCCATGCAGAGGGGCGCCCTTGCTGGAGGCGCTTCTGGGGTAGCGACAGGGCTGCCACCAGGCGTTGTTCCTGTCGTCACCCCGGGAGTCGTCACTGCTCCGGGCGTAGTCACAGCGACCCCCTCTGGAGTGGTGGCCACGGCCCCGGGAGCAGTCGCTATCCCAACAGTAGCCACTCCTCAGGCATCTGTTGCGGCGACAGCGGCAATCTCCATTGCAACGACCCTCACACCTACGGCGGCTATATCGCCAGCAGTCACAACCACTCCGGCTACAACACAGCCGGCAAACGCTTCGCCGCCGATTCCCGCAACCGTTAACACGACCGTGTTAACCAACGGAATTCAGTCACCTGTTCCGCAATCACAACAGACGTCAGCCAGTAGCCCCGTGGTGGCAACTGCTGCGCCGGTAAATGCCGGTACAGCGACCTCCTCAGTGGTACAACAAGTCGTTGTGCCGGTTTCGGCGACAGGAAGCATGGCCGCAACACCTGCGGGAACTACACAGGTACGGAAAACCGCAAAGGTACAGAAAAGGTTTCGTTTGTGCAGATGTGTTTTATATGTGTAGGTTTGTTTTGCCGAAATTTTACTACACGGTCGTGTAGTCAATGCAGTAGAATCTCTGGGGGGACAATATCGTTTTCCACTGTGACACACAGAAGGCACATCCAAATGCAGAACAGCAATACAAGGCAAAATGAAAATAAGTTGCGTATAATCGAACAGTGGGAAGCTAAAATACTGTGAAAACTAATTTAGATGTTCTTCGGCTCAAATTCTTGCGGGAAGGTATTATCAATTACTTGTTTTTGCCATCTCCAACAACTTAGGGCGAACAGGGTGAGGCGAACGTAGTACGACGCTGGTTCAACATATTACCCCGGGAAGGATGCGACGGAACATGCCGGTCAGATGATGCCACCGAAGATGATAAGGACGAGGTGGGCTATCATCGCCATTATTATTATTAATATAGTTTCTAGTCTAAGTAAAGTCCATTTGTTTGTATACTAAATAATTTAGGGGTGCGCATTCAGTCGACTTAATACAATAGAAGAAAAACGCACTCATAATGATTAATTGTATATTATCCATTAGCAGGACGACGACGAGGAGTCCGTCGATGATTCGACGACTGAAGGAAAGCACCTCCAGAGCATTCCTCATCTGTTACGCAAGGGCTGGTGGAAAATTACCAAACGTACTGAGCTGGACGCTATCTACAATGCCCTCCACACGGGCGGATATCGGGAAAAATATCTAGCCGATTCGCTAAGCAAAGTATTAATGTACAACCCAGACGGAATTCCGTTCGGACTGAAGGGCGATCCGAGGGATCCCCTTAACGATCTTGATTTGCCGCTGCCCTCGCCGGACTACGAAGATCAATGGGACCGTAAGGTGGCGCTGCGAATCGAGATGGATATGCTCAATGAGATTAACGTACTTCAGGAACGCATTCTACAGGCCAGCATGCAGGTAATGTACAGAACGCTCCTTTTATCTTAAGCAAAAAATGTATGGGCTGTGAAGATCTTCAATCACAGGCACAGCTTCGATCGGCTTGTCCTGCAAACAACTTGAGTTGTTTTGACACTCACTAACACAGCCAATTTCTATTAGATACATTTAATTTGGCGAAAGGCAGCTTAATGATGATACCATCTGTTCTGGAATTCGGAGTCAATTAATTTCGAATTGGTAATTATCGCCAATGGCAACGATGTGATGTTAATAACCGTTGCCGTTTTTCTGGTTATACTTTCGCATCATCACTGTGAATATATGAATCCGTTTTTTTTTGACTCTAAAAGAACATTTTTTTAAAAATGATTCATTCTTACTCACAGGTTCGGGGTGCACGGAACGACGAAGAGGACGACACAGGCGTTCCGCAAGATCCCAGTGATCCCGCATGGATGGCCAGCTCGACGTTCCTCATACACAATAAATACATCCGAAAAAAGGAAGAGAAGGCCCGGGCGTTGGCAAGAAAGCGAAATCCACCGAGCAGTCACAAGAAATCGTCGAAGGATCGACGGGCACGGCAGGAAGCGATTGAGCGAGCCGCCAGGGAGCTGGCCGCAAAAATGTTGAGCCAACAAAACGAAGAGAAGGTAGACGCGAGCGGAAATCCTCTGCCAGGACCAGGCATCAACGGGCAGGTCGACGAGAATGAGTCTGACTCTGACGAGTCGAAACCGCCCACTCCACCGCCGCCGGGAGTGCGAAATCCTGTGGCTGTGGCAATCGAACGTCTCCTTAATCTCGAGGCATCGATTGAAAAGAGGTATGTACGACACAGGTTGGATGTTTTATTGCGCGACCAAAGCGTTAATGAAACATACAAATTTTTACTAGTCTATATACGTTCAGATGACGTAAAGGGCCGGACAAGCACCTCTTCGCAGTTTGAGAGTCTTTATAATTAGTTTTTTTTTTTACAGTCGTTATTACTACATTTTCCACCTTTAACCAATGCAGCCTGACGATTCTGAAACTATTAAGTGGCTTTTTTTCAAAGAGTTATATGACTCCTGCCTCATCCTGGATGAATGCAACAAAATGAAAGAGATATTCCATGAGCCATTCAAGGAGAGGGTAAGGTAAACACCAGGCACACCTGTTGTATATATGTGCAACAATGTGGTGCACATATCACCCACATTAAATAACCTCTTGGCTTTATGTTTATCTGTTTTTTGGTGCAGATATCTCCGTCCACCTCTGGGTCGAGGTCAGGTGCCTATACCTCATGGGCCGACAACTGCCAGCTCGACTCGAGGCGGCTTCAATCACCGAGACGAGAAAAAAGATGAGGAAGACAATGTTTCGAGAGAATTGAAGAGATGGCGAGACGGAGTGGCCAAATGCACATCGGCCGCACAGGTACATAGTCATTTTGAAGATCGTTAATGAGTGACTTTTAGTCTCCTCCAGCGTTCCACCGCTTAGATATCCACCAACTCGAGCGAGTCATGACATTTTCCGTGTGCTCGAGACCAAAGGCTAAGTTAAACTAGGCATAGTAGAGAAGCAACCCAATACTTAATTCAATAATCAGTTTGAAACTATCTAGATTATCATCTGCTTATATTTCTAACCAAACAAATAAACATTTGCTTATTTTGATCATCTCGGTATGTTTGCTATCACGCATAGCTACATTTATGCCTGATGCAACTCGAGTCCTGCGTCGCATGGGAAAAATCCATCATGAAGGCAAATTGTCAATTCTGTGGGAGCGGCGACAACGAGGCGTCGTTATTGCTCTGCGACGCCTGTGATAAGGGATACCACACTTATTGCTTTAAGCCAAATGAAATGATCGTCCCACCAGGCGATTGGTTCTGTTTCGAGTGTATTAACTCAGTCAATCAGCTGAACAAAGTATGTGTAGTGTGTGGCAAACCGGGAAACACCAAAATGGCCCAGTGTGATCTCTGTCCAAAACTGTTCCATCCGCCGTGCGTTGGACTACAAAAAGTCCCCCCGAAGAAATGGACCTGCGTAGCTTGCACGGTTCCACCGGCATTGACTGGCAATGGCGGTACGAATAATTCAGGATCAGGTGATACGCCTGTTGCTGATGGGGAGCAGCCCCCTGCCCCAAAAAAGAGATCGTCTTCATCCAAGTAAGTTAGCAGCCCATTTACGTATAGAGACTTAGTGATACCAGGAAATAAACAAATGAATAAGCGATATAACTTCACGACAGATATGATTATGACTTAAAAAACTTAGCAGTATGCTAAAAACTTTTTGCTAAGCACCTACTCAGTTTAATAGATATAAGTTCGAGTAGTCTTTCAATTCGCATTAGTTTGTTTGACGTGTGAGTTTAGTATATTCATTCGACCACCATTGATTCACATCGATGATTTTCCCTCATTATCCCTTTTCTATTCCCATAGAGGTCGACCTTCAAAAAGCAAAAAGACATCTGCTGCGGCCCAAGCGGCCGCGGCAGCAGCTGCAGCGGCGGCTGTTGCCGCAACAACAGTCGCTACAGGTTCTGCTGAGCAACCGGTGAGCAACGGCAACGGAGTAGACGACTCCAGGGACTCGAAGGATTCGAAGGAAAGCGGTGGCGGCGGCAGCGCTGCGGTCGCTGGTGCAAATAACGCCAACACCAGCGCCACTTTGAATAGCGCCGCTGGAACAGGTGGTGGAGCACCAAAGGAGTCCACCACTACGAATCCTCCAATCACGACGAATACTCCAGTCGGAGAAGCGCCCGCTGCAGCCGTAAAGGAATGCAAGGATAACGCTACTAATGTGAAAGACAGGGAGAAGGATAAGGACAAGGATTCGAAGCGCAACCGGAGGAGTCGGGCGAGTGCCGCCTCGCTTAAAAAACAGCATCAAGCGTCGGAACGGGCGCTGGGAGAGTGCAAGTAAGTTGTCATCGGATTTAGCTAGAGAATGGTGACGAATCGGGACAAGTCTTCAAACAAAAAACAAAAAAAAATTGATATACTCTTTCGCAAAAGAAGAATACGAGTATGCAACGTTCTATTGTTCGCATCTATTGTAAGCTAGACCTTTTTAAACACGTTTTAAGAAGGGATATTCAAAGTGGGGGTATTGAATGTCAGTGTTGTTAATGATATTTCACATGATATCAACGAAAGAAATGCTTGTTTTGTAGTGGCAGAATTAAACGATATGTTTTCCTGTTTGTTGTTCAGGACATTGTTAGATGAGATGTGTGGACACGATGCTTCTTGGCCTTTCCTGCTCCCGGTTAGTCCTAAGGAGTGCCCGACCTATCGGAAGGTCATTAAGCGTCCAATGGACTTGCAAACCATGCGCACAAAGATCGAGTCCGGGGTGTAAGTGTTATTGTAGTACGATACGACCCCTCGAGTCGGTCGTATCAGACTATATTTATCCCATGTAGTCAATACAAAGAAGTCGTTTGAATCGTTTCTCAACTGCTGCATTGTTCAATTCCTGAACAGCATAAAATTGGCACAAACAAATTACACGTGGCCATCAGACACATGTAGATGAATTCCCAGTTCTTCTAGCCCCTCAAATATCTTTGGTGCCTCGAGAAAATTATTTAGATAATCATTTTATTCTTGGTATGTAATATCTTCATATTTTTGCTTGGTATCAATTTTAGATACAATAACTGCGAAGATTTCGCTGACGACGCTCGGCTCATGTTCACCAATTGTGAGACGTTCAACGAGCATACGTCACCGGTCGGCAAAGCTGGCCGTAAACTCAAACAGTTCTTCGAAAAGCGTTACAGCGACGTCCTCGACTCCAACAGCTAATCGCTTTAACGGCTCAAGATCCTGATCAGCCACTCATGGCCCTGGTCGCGTTTTGCATTTTCACTGGCCTCATCCTTGAGCCTCGTCCGTTTGTATCCTTTGGAAAATGATGACTCAACGTCGAGTAAAATTGTGGCTACGTTCGAAGTAGAAATCTTTGGGTAAACCTGCTGATGAATCGAGCAACCGATGAATTCATTTCGTCGAAGTCAGACTGCAGAGTGCACAGGATTTCTACGAAACAAAATACAGTCACAGGACCTTCGCCATAAAAAAAATGAGTCCATATTGCGCAGTCGCCCTTGCTCAGCCGATGCTCAGGTAGCGCGTATGTTGTAGGACCTGCTGGAAATTGTTAATGAACTGCAAAAACAGCAATAGATGACAGAAATGGCAAAAACTAGTGGGTGAAAATTACCTGGATACTGGAAAAACTAACACAAGTCAAACGGAATCGCAAATTTTTGTCATTCGCTCTTCCGAGCTTCAGCTCTGCTGTAAGAGCAGCACAATAGATTACATATATATAAAATAGTAGAATTTTCTTTGGTCTACGAACTCGACAAATTTCTGCTTCGAATCGTGTCGCTTCGTACAAATCAGGTCTGATTTTGCACCACCTTTGTTTGAGGTCATATAGTACTATAATTTAACACTGATGCCCATGCTATTGACGATGGTCCCATAGACGAAAGGATATAAGCGGAGATGCGATCTTGGTTAGACAAAAACACTCCGACAGGTGATATACAACAGTAATAGCTAAATGAAGAATCAACCGTGAATACCTCGACGTAGGGTTATTATTGTTATTCTTCAACCATTTTATGGTCTGCAGTATGCACCATATTGGCTGCACTTCTGTCTGGGCGCGTACCTGAGATGGTTTGTGCTCTCCTACGCAGCTGATGGGACGAACGGTCAAATGTAGGCTATGTACCATGTAGGTAATTAGCAGGTCATCATCACCAACTGCGGCTGCGGCAGTAGAAAAACAATGCAACAGTAACCAGACGAAACGATACAAATTTAGATGAACGGGGAAAGGCTGTTCCACAGATCTCGCATATGAAGGCCGTTCGCTACCATCGAAAAGATTGATTAAAAGAAGATGTCAATAGCAGGATGAGGTAATAGCGGTTCACGGTTATATATATCGTACCTAATATAAAGCGATGAACTATTACAGCATAATGATTATTATATATATATTATAGTATAGCAAGAAGGCAATTTCGAATTCATAGTGATTAGGATATATATATATATATATATATATATAGGGAGAAAGAGACGGAGATAATAACAGAGTAAAATAATAGTAATAAAGGTAATGGTGGCAGAAATAATAGCATTGATAACTATGGTAGGCGTAGTAGTTGAACATTTTCAGACATGTAAATGTTGTACTTAATCGGCTGTGAGAGAGAAGGAACTTTAGAGAATTAGTTGGCTACAGAGGTAATTACATGAGCGTACATTAATATAATTATTGTGTACGTTCCCTGAACCCGAAACTATCTAATGTGTCCTGAATTGACGAGAGCATATATAAATAATAGATACAATTGAAGACAACTGATATACACCAGAAACATCTACAAATGTACGATAAAGCCAAGTGTAGGATGAACATTATATTTAAAATCGTCCAAATATATATATATATATATATATATATATATACGCAGTCAATAACATACATTTAATTAAATATAACAAGAAGATGTAAGACCCACGACTGACGCATTCTCAGCGGTTAAATGTCTACTGTTTGGCGTTTGAAGAAAAAACAAGTTCGATCCGCTGCTAACGCGAACCCTATTGTTCGAGTCCAACCTATTAGGCAACAAGGGTTAGGAAATGCACAAGGACTTACCGGTGTGGTGAGAAAAAAACCCCTATGGGGTAAGCAGCTTACGAGTGTAGACTGCATATAAAATAGTAATCTATTTAGTCCGCTGGCTTCAATGTGCGTGGCTATATGCGTCCAGTTGTAACTTTCGACAACTGTTTTCGGAGGCGCAACGTAATGGGGAGGTAATGCATCAATTGAAATGCGATGAGAAGAAACCGTATAACAGTGCAGCAGGCAGATAGGCGTAAATGATTTTATTTTCGAAGAATCTATTTTGGTTTCTCACACCGTTTAGAAGCTGGGAACCCGAGACCGAAATATTCTGGGAATTGTAGAGGTGGTACGACGCCGTGTAAGCGAGGGGGTGCGCTTAAGCCAGGGGTTACGCGTAATTGAGGTTTAGCGGTTTAATGGTTTAGCGTGCCGACGTTAACTGTGCATGATTGATGATCGATACCGGAGGGATTGTTGACTACATGAATATATTCAGAGGAGCGTATGGAACAGGTATGAGAAAAATTCTCCTGATTCGTGCTATGGCTCATCATTACAATGACGAATTGTTTACTAGATTTGAATTTCAAAGCTGATTTGAGTGACTCTGCTGCTAGTACTGATGCGTTATGTCCCGCCCACCAACTAAAAGTCACAGTAAAAAATTAAATTGAACGTGTATGTACATATGGTAAATATATATGAAAAGATTTAATTTGGAGAGGTAAGTTTGGTATATGAATCACAATAATTAGACATGGTAATTGATCTCGGTATACGCATGATATATGTAAGTTTATGTCTGGACACATAGGTAGATAGGATAGTGCAGCAGGTAAATACGAAGAACTTGAATTGAGCGCCGATCCATAATTAATGGCCGACATATAATGGTGACTGCGCGCAATAATGATGCAAATGGTAGCTAACCTCATATATTTCATTTATGTAAAAAATAATTCTATTCTGTCACGGTTAGAATCTGCCATTTTGTCGTAATTTCATGACGAATAGAAATTCGTGATACTTACGTTTGCTTTTCGTTAAGACCTGGGGTTTCGCTAACTTGTTTTTCTCTAGTAATCTGATTGACTAATTATCGCATAGGTTCTTAGCAACCAGAGTTATTTGACGTTAAAATATCAACAGCGGGCATAACAATAGCCGTTGAAGCTACTATAGTATAGGGTAGCATATAAAAATAGTTAGTTATACTACTAGTAAGAATCATTCATAATTAGAATATGGATATTATATCCCAGTAATAGGAATAGCATTATTAATCTTGATAGATAGATGCGGTGGCGTCTGCCGAAAAAACGCGGTGATTCTTTTTGAGAGGCAATTGTATGGGTAATTATAATAACAGCAATTAATAGTTATTCAAACTGTGCATAAGCTTATTATATAGTTAGACAAGAGTATGTGTCAGACAATGTGCCGCGACGGGGGTAGAGTATCTAGATTGACTTCAGTGTTTATCTTCGCATCTATGCCGGATGCCGGAGGCACTGTCGAGTGTTCATACAGTAGACAAAGATATAATAACGTGTGCGGGGGTAGTGATTGAAGTTTATACTATACTTGCCCCTCGATGAGAGATGGCGAGAGAGCGGTAGGCATAACTGAACGTCGCGTGCTTCTGTGGGTGATTTTACAAGCTTGAGGGTTTTCATGCTTGGCTAAGATGAATTTCTATTCATTTCGACTTGTTGATTTTTCATTTTCGTGGTAGTGTTAATACCCCATAGTGGTAACCATTCAAATAAAATTGACTGCGATCAAAATATCGAAACGATGGCGGGCATGATTGCCATAACGGATAGCGTCATAAAGTGCAGTATAGTCCCGGTGCATGAACGCATGCGTTATGGATGACGAACGGAAGAGGACGAAAAGGAAGCAAACGATATGAAACAATTTAAAAGACAGTTTAGGTCCCCGGGAAAGGACGAATCTTCTCCCCTGTGCGCTAAACAGAGCTAAGAGATAACATAAAAGATAGATATCTCAACTAGGCGAAACAGTCAGAAAAAGCACGATGCCGAAGAGAGCTAAAATGTCGTAAGTTCATGAGCGCTTGCTGCAATCGCTATACAGCGCCGAACTGGATCGTTATCAAATGACTCACGATGATAGTGATGTAGTGTCTGCAGTACACTCTGGCACAAAGCGTAAAGGGCGTGAGGTAGTTGATAAAATATTGTATAGAGTCAAGCTAACGTTAGGTTTATAAAAGTTTGTGGTCGCCTAAGATGGAACTGACGGTAAACCACAACCGCGCAGAGGTAGGCGTATCGATGGGGGTGCCGACCAATAGGTCGGTCCAGCTGGCTTTGTCTATTTGCGTGATAATACGTTAACATGGTAGAAACTACTGCGATGAATGGTGAGTAAATAACTTAATGAGGGCATGAGGCAAAAAATATGCTATATATATA